GACATAACCTGGATTTCTGATGGGCCGGTGGCTTTCTAACAAAAACTAATGTAAAGCATTTGAAATTATGTTTTTCACCCTCTCTTAGAAACTCTGTTAGACCATGAATGGCAGCATGGCAGGCCACTCTTTGGCTATAGCTATTTACTATGTTGCTTGCATTGGTTTAAATTACTCTAACATTAGAACTGGTAGATTCAAAAGAGATGAGTTTAAAAAGGAATCATAAAGAAATGTTTTGTGTTTAACCAGGACTTGACTGAGGCCACTGCACAGATTGAGAAAACCACAATGAACATCTGTCTCCAGAGGATGCACCAGGCAATGACTTTTCTGATGTTGGCATCATCATCGAGGGTATAGTAGTTCTTCAAGATCTGGATAACGTGACCTTTGCAGTAGCCATGCTGTTTGGACCTTTTTTATTCCTTCAATATGAGTTACCCATCACAGCTCTGCTACACTTTTGAGGTGATTCAATGGGTGGTAATGGAGTTGGATGCAACTCAGCTCTCAAGAAAAGCTCACAACTAAGACAAAACTGCTCCTGCAAGGAAAGCTCACTGTTATGCATGCAAGGTGATCAGCTCTAGGTGAGAAGACATTTAAATCTCACACTTGTTCTGCTGCATTTTTGAAGCTCAATTCCAGGAACAGATCGCAGGGTTCATTTTTATATACACTGCAACTGCCATGAGGTCAGGGCCATTTTTTTTGTTGTTGTTTGTTTTTCCTTTTGCTCTGTACAGCATTTTGGCAGCATTTTTAAATTTCTCTTTGTATTTTTTCTTTCTTTTACTAGTGAAGAGATGTAGCGTGAACAGTTATACAGTCTAAATATCCCATATGGGTCGTGTGAAATGGTGTTTTCAGTTTCATTCAGTTGAAGTAAAGAACGTTGAATATTTCTAAGTGTGCTGTTTTGAACCAAGATGTCACAGTATGATCAGTGCTGTAATTTTTGACAGTCACTGTATCAATGTTATTTTTGCATCTCTTGAATAAAAGGTTTTGACCTGCAAGTGCTAATTTCTTTAGTTATTGGGGTAAAATGGGTAATGTTAATAGGAAGGTGTTTGCCAATTCAGTAACCTAATTTAATGTTAATTTTTATTTAAGTATTTATTGTCATTGTCAGAGAACAATGAAATTGCGTTTGGGGCTCCGTACAACCCGTAAATAAAATAATGGAAGAGTACCCCTTAAAACCCAAGTGTAAATATTTAACCCAGTGTGACTCCAGTGCAATAAGACAATCCTTAACAACAACATAAGAACATGACAAGTAATGTTCATAAGAAATTCGGGAGGGGGAAAGAGAATAAAGATTTGATGCACCAATGCAGACCAGTTCAGTGCTATTTAGAAGTTGGATATGGTTATTGTCCGTGAGAGGGGGCAGAGAGTTCAGAAGCCTCACAGCCTGTGGATACAGGCTGTTGGCCAGTCTGGATGTTCTGGCCTGTATAGACCTGTACCTTCTCCCTGAGGGCAGCAGGTGGAAAAGGTGGCGCGCAGGGTGATGTTGGTCCCGCAGGATACTGTGCACCCTCCTCAGACAGCGAGTGGGGAAGATATTACTAATCTCTGGCAGACTTGTTCCAATAATTCTGCCAGCTTCTTTCACCACCCGCTGGAGTGCTTGCTGATCGGCCTTGGTGCAGCTGGGGAACCACACTAGCAATCCATACGTCAGAACGCTGCTGATGGCACAGTTGTAAAAGTTCAGCATCAGAGATCTGGGAATGTGTGCGCTCCGCAGTCTCCTCAGGTAGTAGAGGCGCTGTTGGGCCTTCCGTGCAACTGAGGTGATATGGTTGCCCCAGGACAGGTCCTCGGTCACGGTTACCCCCAAAAATTTAAAACTGCTTACCCTCTCCACCGCCCCACTGCCAATAAAGAGAGGCAGATGGTTGTTATGACCCTTCCTCCGGAAGTCTACAATGATCTCCTTGGTCTTTTTGGCGTTTAAGACCAAGTTATTGTCGTGGCACCATGACTCTAGTTGTTGCACCTCTGTCCTGTAGTTTGTCTCATCGTTGTTGGATATAAGTCCGAGCACTGTAGTGTCATCGGCAAACTTAACGATGAGATTGGACGCACAGGAGGAAATACAGTCATGGGTGAAGAGAGTGTATAGCAGAGGGCTCAGGACACACCCCTGAGGGGCACCGGTGTTGACCACAAGGGTGGAAGAGGTGTTCTTACCCACTCTGACACTCTGTCTACGGTTAGTGAGGAAGTCCATAATCCAGTTGCACATTATCCCCTAACATTATCTCAAATTGTTTAGTTATAATTGTTGTTTAACTGAATCTTGATTTTTGATCTTGATTTGTTCTTTCCCAACATTTTTCAAAAGAAACAGTCTAATTTCTTTGCTGTGATTGATTCCAGAGAACACGGAAGAACTGACATTATTTAACTGTTGATTTATGTAGATTCAGTGGAGGAGTAATGTCAGTTTAATTCTTTACCTACTGTCAATGCAGTGAAATTAGACATTTTGTTTTGAAAGGTTACTGGTGGATGCCAGCAACCATCTTGGAAGAGAACAATATAATCTGTTATAAGGCCTCCATTTGAAAATTGTGTATTTGATACTAGAATATAATAGCAAAATGTAATTTGAAGATAACATGTAGTATTTAAGTGACCAAGTAGTATTGGGTAAAAGTTATTGAATGGTGTTGGGATAAAGTGAGAAAATTGTGAAGGATTAAAATATTCCAAGAGCTCAAATTACTTCATCAAAACATGTTTAAGTCACATTTTATCAACAGAAATTGCTTATTGAACATGAATAAATTGTGTTAATTTAACTCAATTGTTTAAGTTGCTGCCAAAGCAAAACATCTGTGTGCAACAAATGTCCACCATTGAATTAAGTAAATCCAACAACATATTTTTTTTCAGTGTATAGTCCACCTGGGCCTTACACAGAGTTTCTGTCTGATTTCTCAGACTTTATATCTAATTTAGTTCTGAGCTCAGATAAAATAATTATTATAATAATTATAACATCCATGTAGATGCTAAAAATGACAGCCTCAACATGGCATTTAATCTGTTATTAGACTCAATTGGTTTCTCTCAAAATGTAAAAGAACCCACCCACCACTTTAATCACACTCTAGATCTTGTTTTAACATATGGCATAGAAACTGAACATTTAACAGTGTTTCCTGAAAACCCTCTCCTGTCTGATCATTTCCTGATAACATTTACATTTACAATAATTGATTACACAGCGGTGGAGAGTAGACTTTATCAAAGTAGATGTCTTTCTGAAAGCACTGTAACTAAGTTTAAAGAATATAATCCTCCCACTGTTATCATCTCCAATGCCCTGTACCAACACAGAGCAGAGCAGCTATCTGAACGCTACCCCAACAGAGGTCGATTATCTTGTTAATAATTTCACCTCCTCACTACGTACGACTCTAAACGAAAAAATATATATACCACTCAGTTGGTATATGTCCACCTACATAACAGCAGCTGGGTACACCCTGTAATGGAAATTTCTTTATTTTATGTATTCTAAGGAGCTTGCAAAGAAAAGCATCTGGACTTCTTTAAGTTACTTGAAGACGTTTCACCTCTCATCCGAGAAGCTTCTTCAGTTCTAAGGTCAAATGGTGGAGAGTGATGGTGATCTCAGGAATTCGCATGATAAGGTGGGGCCAGGTTTCACAATGAACCCACCCGAAACTCTGGCTGATTGGAGCCCACACCCAGTTTCACACCTTGGCTCAGGCGATTAGAGGATCATCAGGGGGTCCTCTTGTCCCTCTGTGGGGGGTTACTCCCACTAGGTTTATATCTGGGACTCTCCACCATTTGACCTTAGAACTGAAGAAGCTTCTCGGATGAGAGGTGAAACGTCTTCAAGTAACTTAAAGAAGTCCAGACGCTTTTCTTTGCAAGCTCCTTTGACTACGATGACCTGGATGACTGAGAACCTACACAGACATTTATTTTATGTATTGATCACATTAGTAATAATTATAACATCACTTTGTCACTTAGTTATATACATGTCAGATAGCACCACAAATATGTCTTTATGTTCTATTACACCATAAAATGCCCTACTGTGTGTGTGTGTGTGTGTGTGTAAGTTCATGGGAGACGTTAAACAGATGGTGAAAAACGAAGGTGCCTCCCTTATCAGGCCGTAGCAAGGATTCGAGAGGTAAATCTCCAGGTGATGGATAAGTGAAAAACAAAGGTGTCTCTCTCTCTCTCTCTCGAAGGAAAGGTTTCAAGGATACTTTGAGTTGAAGGTATAAAACCACATGATGTGCTGTCAAATGCCTTTTGTCTCTCTGTGTTTCTGTGTGTGTATAAGATATAAGGGCGGCAGCCATCGTGACACAGCATTTTGGCATCGGACCTGAATGCTCTCTCCACTGCAATGTATATAATAAACTCCACTTTAAAAAAGGCGCTCACCAAGTGTTTACAGTTTATTTAAAACTTTCATAACAACCCTTCTACACAGCTAACAATACGACTATTCTTGTTCATTCTCTGGTTCATTCTCCCATGTTAATTAATGTAATTCTATCCTTTCTAGATTACCACTCAAACTTCTCCATAGACTTCACCCAGTGCAAAACGCAGCTACCTGTGTCGTTGCCAGAATACCTTCTATTTAGCATATTGCTCCTGTCCTTCAACCACTTCACTGGATTCCTGTAAAGTGTGACATTAATTTTACTCTAAGATCCTACTTCACTGCTACTGTTACCATTTGCTCACATCATGGGCTTTGGCGCCTTCAGCTGAGTGGACACTGGTGTTTAGAACCATCTGCTGCACCACATTCACAACATGCATTCTCACCCTAGCTCTAAAGCCAGCCTTAAAACATTTTTTTTAAACTTGCGTATTCTGATTTGTGCTTAATATTTATAATTTTATGATGTATTCACTTCACAACATGGAAATAACTGTGAAAAGAATAGATGTAAATGTAGTTGTTGTACATGTACCTTAAATAAGGAGTCCAGGTGTGTTTGATGCTGCTGGGCAGACTGACTACTTGGAACCTCTGAGCTCTCCTGGTCCACTCTGTGGAGGAATTCAATAATAATTCAAGGAGTCAGAACAATACAACAAAACATTGTCATCGAAACGCAACCTAAGATGCTGGTGGTCCTCCACATTATACGAAAACAAACAAACACACAAGACAACAAAAAACCCAGCTCTCACTTGTTATCAAGTGGGAGCTGACACTATTTGAACATTAACAATATACAACTCCAGAACAAAGTTCACTAGCAATATTTATCTTCGTTAAAAATACTTTTAACAAAGCATATAGAATAATCCTTTTTTGTTATTATAAATATAGAACAAAATTATTGTGCTCCACACCAACTGTGCAGGAGTAAAATAAATAAATAAATAAACAGACCTCTTAATGAAAGAGAGCTGAGACATTGTGTGCACTTCCAAGAAACAGGGATTTTGGTCCCTGCTGCTCTCTGTGAACAAACTGTTTTTTACAGCCCAGCATGAAGATCATTTCCTGTCAGATGCCCCTAGATGTTTTTTTAAATTTACTTTTTCTTCTTAATGCCTCTCCTTGTGTCATCGGTGAATCCAATGAAGATATTACAAATATTACGGAGTCTTTGAACCTTGATTGTCAACCAGGATGGGTGCAAATGTTTGAATTGACTTATCAGTTGTAACATAGTCTGCATAGTCCTCCAGGTCCCCTTAATCAAATAAACCTCAGCATGTATTCTCAGAGCTGTACTGCAGTTGTGTGAGAGCACACACTGACTAAGTTTTGATTGTGTTTTTTTTTTTTTTATTATTATTATAGTGGGCTAAGTACTAAAATGATCAAAACTTGATCCAAGACTTTTATTATACACTGAATTCTGTAAAGCAGCAGCTTATGTACATATCTTTCTTGTGTAAGTGTAAATTTGTCTGTGTTATTGTGTAAATACTTACGCTATTGTGTACTTCACACACATGGAGAAATGCCAAACTACCTTTCATTGTTCTTGTAACAGCGACAATAAAGATTCTATTTTATTCTGATGACTGTTTTGCAATTCTTTCTTTTCTCTAGGAGTTTTCTCCTAGAGAAGATCTTGTAAACTTAATTTTTATCACGTGGAAACTGAAAGCAGAAATCCATATCAGGGTAGGCTTGATAAAGTGACCCTGAATTGGAAGAGCAGACAAGTAAAAAAGAATGGATGGATGAATGAAGGGATGGACGTATTTAGTTTAGGGATATTTGTTGGATAATGAAGCTGTAACAGATGAGAGACTTTTTAAATACTGGGGAGTTCTTGAGAACAAACAATCCTGCTTCTTCCCTTTTTGGCTGCTCCTTTCAGCTGTCCTCCTGACATACTCATTTGAAATCTTGTCCATCGTCAACTCAGTGCCACCACATCCAAGCCCTATAACATGGTCTCACTATCATCTTGTAAAGTTTCCCTTTCACTCTTCCTCCAATCCTTCTGTCACAAATCACTCTTGACATTTATAATCACCCCCTTCACCAGGGCTGGACTGGGACAAAAAATGGGCCCGGGCATTTTGACTAGAGACCGGCCCACCAGGTATTATAGGAAAAGCCATAAAGCCTTTGAATGAAAACAAACGCTGCTGTGACAGTGATGTACAGTCTTGTTGGTATATGTATGATTTCTATACATTTGACATCAGATGAAAACTTTGGTTGTAAGATACGGATAATTATTTGTTCAAAGCTAGAAATTTTAAATGAGAATAAGAAAGAAAAGTATTTCTTTGTGCCCCCCTCTCCCTGTTAATGCCCTACCTGGCCCCCTGGCAACACTTTGCTAGACCCGCCCCTGCACAGTTACCAGCCATCAGCTACATAAAAAAGGATCCTGGTGTTATTTGTCTCTCCCCTCCCTCTCCTGTTGAAGTAGCAACAGGAGAGGGAGGGGAGAGAGTGAGAGAAGAAGAGGCAGCTTTGCAGCGTAAAGACAGAACAACTCCAGCTTTGTGTCTTTTTCATTGTAGCTGAAGTCCGGGACAAACTGTTCCTTTTCACCTCAATACGAAACCCGTAATATTTTCTCTGAATACGAGACGATTCTGTTTTTTACGGGACGGTTGGTAACTCTACTAACAAACCTCATGAATAAAATAAAGTTCGCTACCAGTAACATCATAGCACCCACCCAGCTGTATAGAAACTCTGTCACGTGTCATAGCTAGCACGCAGTACAAGTTATTGTAACTGTTTGCTGAAGTGGATTTTCAGCTGTTTAGAAACCAAAGGCTTGTTTTAAAGACACAGTTTAAATGGATTGAGGGAATGATGTGTTTGCACTGCAGTTTATAATCAACAACATCAAACAGTTAAAAGAAAGAGTTCATGTTACTAACAGCTCACCTCTCTGCAGCAGACAGATGCTGGGATTTAAAATTAATGATGAAATGTTTAGACCCATCACTCTTACAGGACACAGAGCTGGGTGGAGGTCCAGGCTGGTTCCTGTGAATAATGATGGAGCAGTGATGTGAGTGCTGAGCTGTGACATGGAGAAGAGTCATGGACAGTTAGAGATGGTCATCTCACCTCTGAGCTTTGGTCTGGCTCTCATGTTCCCCACACAGAGTGCTTTTAGAGGGAGGGGCTCCCTCCTCTCTGTCCTCACACTGATCCATGCTGCTCCATTCATATCAGCTCACACACACTTTCTACCTGCAGAGGAAATACAAATCATTCATGTGCACATCAACTGAAATCCTCCTTTCCATCACTGTGCTGTCCAGATATCAGCTGCTGCTTTCCTGCTTCATCTCAGTGTCAGCTGAATGCAGTCAGACAGCAGTGTGAGGCAGAGGAAGCTGCCATCAGCTGCTCTACCATCCTCTGTCAGTGCGCCCCAGGGCAGCTGTGGCTACAACGTAGCTTGCCATTGCCAGTGTGTGAATGTGTGTGTGAATGGGTGAATGCCTGAATGTAGTGTAGGTTTGAATCTGGTTCTTCTCTGGTGTTCATGCAGACAGCTGTGCAGTAAATAACCATCTGTACTAACACACACGCTCTTTGTACTCAGTATTTGAATATGAAAATATAGAGTTTTTCCCACTGACTCAAAGACACACTGTTAATATCAGTTCAAAAGGGACTCATTTACATTAAGCTCTGGAAAGAAGAAACACTGGACTGTCCAACAAGCAGAAAGAGGAAGTTTCTAATATCCAAATATGACAGCAGAGGTGCACCTGAACAGGTCACCACTCTGTGACACAAACATGAATATGAGTCTGTTGATTTTTGAGGATATAAACATAACACTGCCTGTCCTGGGGCCCGTTCTTCGTACGTCGCTCACTACATCCAAGATCAAATGACACATCCAAGACCAAACCATCACGCTAACCGTGAGCTCGCTATTTCGGTTCTCCGAACACACCTGCTGTTGACGATTAGTACAGCTGGATGAAGTAATGTGACATCACTGGGTGGATTAACAGGGGCTACGCATCAATAGTAGAAACATTGATCGGCAACCCTCTGATTGGTCGGCGAAAATGTCGAAGGAGTGCGCTCAGTATTTTTTGGCAGCAGAGCAAGAACTCTTGAGTGAGGGATTTCAGGAGTTTCAGAGTTTAATCAGAACGCAAGGGAACACTGCAAAGGCTGCAAAAGCAAGGAGAGAGGGCTGGCAGGAAGTTGCTGACAAATTAAACTCGTAAGTAATTTAATAATAACAGAGTGGATTTATATAGCGCTTTTCAAGGCACCCAAAGCGCTTTACAATGCCACTATTCATTCACTCTCACATTCACACACTGGTGGAGGCAGCTACGGTTGTAGCCACAGCTGCCCTGGGGCAGACTGACAGAAGCCAGGCTGCCATATCGCGCCATCGGCCCCTCTGGCCAACACCAGTAGGCGGTAGGGTAAATTTATTATATTATATTATATTAGATCCTCTTTCACATTAGAGCCACAACAGGACCCACTAGAACATGGGAACAAGTAAAAGTGAAATATAAGAATATTCTACAGAATGGTAATATTTATCACTTGTATTGCTTTTCGTCTCTTGGAAAGAGACCCTGAAATAATCTGTTTGTTTGTTCATAACAGCAACCAAGAAAAGGGCAGAGCAAAAAAAAGACAGGTGGTGGTCCTGCACCCCTCGTCAACAAGTTGGTTAAGTAAATAATACCCTCACGGGAATATCGATATCTCTCTATGAGCACACTGTCGCGCTGAGCTAAAGGATCCTGTCTGTCCCGCAATATACGCTGAATTCTGAGGACTCTCCTTATCAATCTTGCACCTTCCACAATGGGTGGCTCGCATATACGGACAGGACATGGCTGCGACAGACTTCCCAAATCCACCTTCGCTTTTATAGCCGTGGTCTCCCATCTTGATTACACGAAGTAATTTACAATTACTACTCTGAAATATGAATTACATCTGTAATAATCACATACATGTAATAGAATGTTAATAGTACATTTCCCTTTTTTAGGAAATGACCTGTATGTATCTGTGTGACATCAATAAATGGATCAAGTGCTGCATTATCTTTAGTTACACTGATGTTATTTATTTATGGTGAAACAGTGGTGGAATATCGCTGTTGCTTTCGTATAAATGAAGCAGACATACCTGCGTGGCCGCGATCTAATCCTGTTTACATAAAGTAAACCTGCTCCCGAGCAGGTTTACGCCTATGGCTCTGTTGCTATGACAGCAAGTCCCGGATGAGCTTCAGAGAACCGAACGATCCAGGATCACGCGAAATCGTCAACAATCTAATCCAGTTAACTTACTTAGCGAGGTACGAAGAACGGGCCCCTGAGGTCAAACACTTTGGGCACAGACAGTGAGACTGACATATGCTCTTTGAGTTAAATCATGTCTGTGTACAAACAGAAATTTTTAACTATTACTTGGTATTATTTTATAGGAAAATAACATTTTAGTACAAGTAATTGTGACTTTTTATATTAAATCTGATTAAAACATAATGAAAATAAATACTACATTCATCAATGTTTTATTTATTTCAAACACGATTCTTCTGTCTCAACATCTCACTGCCTGGGACATACCTGATAACTAATGTCTAATTATCTGTTAATGTTTTCACTAATTTAATATAATAATTTTATTTGGTCTAATGAAGTCAGCGTGAATAAACAATGCAAAAACTTTTGTGTTGTTGCTGTTGTTGTAATTACTTCCTGTTGAAGTAGATTCAATATTTGTAACAAAGGATTTTTAAACAGACAGAAGCCAACAGGTTTAATTCAATTCTTTACCACATCTATACATCCACCTCCACTGTAATTATAAAGGCCTCTGACCTCCAACAGTAGTTTACTCTATAACTGCTTATGGCAGTGGCTCTTAACCTGGGTTCGATTGAACCCTAGGGGTTCGGTGAGTCGGTCTCAGGGGTTTGGCAGCCTCCACCGTGTAGGTCGCGGAGGTCCAGACATACCCAAACATACCAGACATACCCAAATCATCGTGTAAATTTGTGATGACACACCCCCTTTTGGCCATCACTGGCTGCAGATGATCATGCTACACTGCTTGGCCAATCAGTGCTGCAGGGAATGTAGCGCACGCAGTAGTCAAAGTGTGAATGTCGTGGTAGTACTTCGTGTGATTTTTTTTGTTAATATTTTAATCCATACTAAGTATCTCGGGCAAAAGAAGAAAGTGGTTGGACGAATATGTACAATATGGATTCACATGTATCACGGAACGTGATGGGAGTGAGCGTCCTATCTGCATGATTTGCAACGCCAAGTTGAGCAACTCTAGTCTCGCACCGGCAAAACTAAAGGAACACTTCTTGAAGCTGCATGGAGACGGGGAACACAAGAACACAACACTTGATGAATTCAAGGTGAAGAGAGCCAGATTCGATGAAAGGCCCACTCTGCCTGCTCTTGGATTTGTACCCGTTAACAAACCGATCCTCACAGCATCGTACGAAGTTGCTTACCTGATCTCAAAGCAAGGCAAGCCACACACCATTGGTGAAACACTCGTGAAACCAGCGGCGTTAAAGATGGCGAATCTGACACTCGGAACAGTCGCCGAAGGTAAATTATCCCAAATTCCTCTTTCGAATGAGACCGTCAGCAACAGAATAGAAGACATGAGTAAAGACATTTTGGCTCAAGTAGTCACGGATCTGATTTCAAGCCCGGCAAAATTCAGCCTTCAACTCGATGAGAGCACAGATGCTGCTAATCTAAGCCAGCTTACTGTTTTTGTGCGCTATGTGAAAGATGACATGATAAAAGAAGATTTTTTTATTTTGTACTTACAACAACAAATAAGGCAGCCGATGTGAAGAAGCTTGTGAATGACTTCTTCAGAGACAACAATCTTTCATGGGATATGGTTGCAGTTTGTACAGATGGAGCTCCAGTCATGCTGGGAAGAAACTCTGGTTTTGGTGCACTAGTAAAAGCTGATGCACCACACATCATTGTGACGCATTGTATTTTGCACAGGCATGCATTGGCAACAAAAACCTTGCTCCCAAAAATGGCAGAAGTATTAAAAACTGTGGTGGAATGTGTGAACTATGTGCGAAATAGTGCTCTGAGGCTCCGCATCTTCAGTGAGCTGTGTAAAGAAATGGGCTCTGAATTCGAATTACTTCTGTACCATTCTAATGTTCTGTGGTTATCCCGGGGACAGGTGCTGAATCCTGTTTTAGCCATGTGTGTGGAATTAGCCCTGTTTTTGCACCAACACTGTCATGCAGATTGCTTCAAAAATCCTGAGTTCATTCTCATTTTAGCGTACACGACTGATATAGTCACAGCTCTCAATCAGCAGATGCAGGGTGGTGGAGTCAATATCATAGAAGCGGAAGAACATCTGAAGGCTTTTCAAAAAAAGCTAACGTTATGGAAACGATGAACAGAGAACAACAACTTCGCAAACTTCCCCCTTCTGGACAACTGTGTAAGTAAGATCGAAGATGAATCTGGAATCTGAGATATTTCTGTATCCACGGAACTGAAGCAAACAATTGAAACGCACTTAGATGAGCTTGCAAAGTCTCTCCACAGATATTTTCCTACAAGAGACTCATATCCAGCATGGGTGAGACAGCCGTTCACGTTTGCTGTTAAGACAGCAGATGTCAGAGCTAGGGATGGGTATCGAAAACCGGTTCTTGTTGAGAACCGGTTCCCACTGTTTCAATTCCTTGGAATCGTTTGCCACTTTTAAAAACGATTCCCTTATCGATTCCAGTCGCTCCGAATGACGTCATCACGTTGAGTGGCGTCTTTTACCCAGTAGGCAACACGGCGCCTGAGCGGCACAAACGCTCAAAAGTTTGGTTACACTTTATGAGAAAGGATGACAACAGGGCAACTTGCAATACTTGCAAAGTAGATATTTCATCAAAGGGAGGAAACACTACGAATATGCAAAAGCATTTGCTCAAAAAACACGCGATTGCGTTCAACGAATGTCGTGTTTTTGATCCGCTCCGGACTAGCGAAGCTCAACCCAGCAGCAGCGGTAGCGTTTCCACGTCCTCTCCCGTTAATACTGCAGGTAACTAATCAATTAGCATTGCACATTATGTTAGCGCGATTTACCTTA